ACAGCCGTACCAAGTATCAACCCCAAGAAAGGGTCGCTCCACGCCCCTGCCCCCACCCTTGGACATAAAATGCCTTGCCTCCAAGGTTCAAGCAATTCTCGTGCCTCAGCCTCCCGAGTAGGTGGGACTACAGGCACGTGCCACCATACCCAACTAATTTTTATGTTTTTAGTATAAACAGGGTTTTGCCATGTTGGCCAGGCTTATCTTGAACTCCTGACCTCAGGTGATCCGCCCACCTCGGCCTTTCAAAGTGCTGGGATTACAGGCCTGAGTCACCATGCCCAGCCACTGACCACCTTTTGAAGAATCGTTTGGCATATAATAGCTAAATAACAACTGTGTGTGGCTCCCCTGTAATCCCAGCACTTTGGGAGACTGAGATGGGAGGATTGCTTGAGGCCAGGAGTTTCAGACCAGCCTCGGCAACATAGCAAGACCCCGTCTCTACAAAAAAAAATTTAAAACTTAGCTGGGCGTGGTGGCATGCACCTGTAGTCCCAGCTATTCAGGAAGCTGAGGTGAGAGGATCACTTGAGCCCAGGAGGTTGAGGCTGCAGTGAGCCATGATTGCACCACTGCACTCACCCTAGGCGACAGATTGAGATCTTGTTGCAAAAAAAGACAAAAACAACTGATGCCTACAGAGTGCTCGATTCGTGCCCGGCTCTGTTACATAGACTAAACCCTTTCAGTTTTCACGACTTCATGTATTAACTACTATTATCATCAGCCATGTGTGATAGATGAGAATATTAGGGCCTATTAGCGCTAACCTTGCCCAAGGTCACATGTGCTAACCCAGCAAGTGGCAGAGAGTGGATTAATACCAGGGCCCGTGCTCTAAACCTCTGCACTACACTGCTTCTCTGCACAGTGGATGGCACAGGCATGCATATTAACTACCATTTATTAAATACCTCTTATTTGCTAAGCCACTGTGCAAGTTATTTTGCAGTGTTTCATACAAGGCCATCTCTATAGCCAGTCCTGTGTTGATTGCAGAATGGGGGTGGGGAGTGCCACTGAGGAAACTGAAGAAAACAGAAGACACCATTCCCACCTTTAAGAAGCTGACAATATGTGGCCAAACGCGGTGGCTCACGCCTCCAATCCCAGCACTTTGGGAGACCGAGGCGGGCTGATCATCTGAGATCAGGAGTTCAAGACAAGCCTAGCCAACATGGTGAAACCCCATCTCTACTAAAAATCCAAGAATTAGCCGGGCATGGTGGTGCCTGTAATCCCAGCTACTTGGAAGGCTGAAGCAGGAGAATCATTTGAACCTGGGAGGCAGAGGTTGCAGTGAGCCGAGAGCGCGCCACTGCAGTCCAGCCTGGGTAACAGAGCGAGACTCCATCCAGAAGAAAAAAAAAAAAAGTTGACAATATGTGTAAGACAACAACAAGCTTTCCATTTGTGCAACACTTCACAGTTTTCAAAGTCCTTTCATTATCTCATTTAATCTTCTTCACAATCCTGCCAAATAATTTTCATGATCTCTGCTCCAGAATGAGGAAACCAAAGCCTTCCAAGTCACAAGGGTCTGCCTCCAAGATCATCTAACCAGCCAGGGAAGAGCTGGAACTTGACCTCAGGTCTCATGATTCCCCCGCACCAAGGAGGTATGGCACACTGCCAAGACAGCCCAGCTCAGTGGTTTGCAACCTGCCCCAGCCTAAAGACCCCTTGTTCCCTTTGGAAGTGACCGCAGCCTTGCAAACGAGAGAAGCTGTTATTTTGGGCTTTGGTCAACGGGGAAAATTCATTGTGACAAAAAACAATCAGGCCTTCAGCACAGCTGAAAAGGAGTAGCACAGTTACGCATCAGACATTACTTACATAGTTGGCAGATAGTATTTGGCATTCAAATAGACATAGAGTTTCTTGGAATAATTCTGCAGCCCACAGGCAGGTAACAACTGGCTGGGCCTATACTACCAGAGTAATTCAGAGAAGGCGCCATGTCTAAAATCTGTTTTCTTGACCAGGGCATGGGGGTAGAGGGGTATGGGGGGAATTTAAATTCAATGAGGTTGGCAAAAATCAGGACTGAAGAAATAGTGGGAGCAAAGGAGCTTGGATGAGGGAGACAATTGTGTAGGGAGACCCAAAGGGTTTATGTGGGGTGTTATATGTGTTATTCCTTTTGCAGAGAAGGGATGTTGAATTCTTAGATGCCCAATGGGCCCATTTGACAGTTTGGAGAGTAAGAGGGGGCGACTGGGAGTGGAGGAGAGTGGTCTAAATGAGAAGTAATTGCTGGTTAAATCCCTTATCTGATGCCCTTGGCTCAGATGTGTTTTGTAATACGAAGTCTTTTTGGATTTTTAAGAAAGACAACACAGTGCCGCGCCACATATTTTGCAATTGCCCATTTAGCAGCGAATCTGGGATGGCACTAAAATACTTTAAACACAATACTTAATATTTCCTGCAAAGAAAGTACATTGGGAAAATTTTTGGGTGCTGTGGACTCAAGCCTGTAATCCAGCCTTTGGGAGCCGGAGTGCAGGCCGATCCTCACCTGGAGGTCAGGAGGTTTCAAGACAGCCTAGCCAACATGGTGAAACCCCCTCTCTACATAAAATACAAAAATTTAGCCAGGCAAATTTGATTCGGCGTAGCTGCCTCAATTCCCAGCTACTCAGGAAGATGAGGCAGCGAGATCACTTAACCCAGGGGAGGCGAAGGTGTGAGTGGGAGCCGAGATTGTGCCATTTGCACTCCAGCTGGTGACAGAGTGAGACCTCTGTCTCGCAACAACAAACACAAACAAAACCAGGTTTTTGTTGCCAGATGTGTTTTGTTTTCGCGAGCTTTTAGGGTGTTTGGAGTTGTTTAGATAAGATATTGTGAACTTAAAACTTAATAAATGTACTTTTTGCGCTTGTTTGCAATCTAAGCCTGGGGGGGGTATCGAACATGCATCTATCTCATTTTAATCCTATTCACACACTATTGGGGGAGATTATTATTCTTCAATTACCTGTGGGGAGAGAACTGAGGATTAAGAGATGTTGGAGTGGACTTGGGCCCAAAGTCACTCAGCCTGGGGTCAGGCGAAGGGAAGTGGGGGGCCAAGCATCCCCAGCTCCCTGTAGATTCCAAAGCAAGTTATATCTGCTCTAGGGGGAGCCCATTCTGCCACCCTTAAATTTTGGTCTAGGTCAACACTCTTACGCGGCGGAGGTGAAATTATCATCAAGGGAACAAAGAGAGCAACTGAAGTCCAAGGCTTGTGGTGAGTGCGTTCTCACCTATCCACTTTTAAGTATTTTGCGATGCGCCGCCCCTCTGCCACCATACCATTTCCGTGCCCACCATGCTCCCAGCCTGAACAAAACAGGCAGCCACTCCATGCCCTGGCCCTGCTAAAGATGCCTAGTGCGCTCACTAAGTTTTCACTTCCCGATACTGCTCAGGCTAGGTGCTAGGGTGCAGCAGTTAAGCCATGGATGTTAAATGTAATGAAGGACTACATCCAGTCTGGCAACTGCACCAGGCTGTGCAAACCGGTGCAAGACATTACA